CTATCCGCCCAGACAACAATCAACACAATATTCAACAGGTTGGATATCAAGAAGACCACTATTCGAATAGCCCTAGTAGCAGCAGCGATGATGAGCATTTATATACATGTGTCGACTCTAAATCAACAAAAATGCCTTCGACCAAAGTACAAATAAACAATGTACATGTCAAAATGATCATAGACACTGGGGCATCAATTAACATTATTGACGAAAATACATTCGCCAATATCAACAAATACAAACGTATCTCATTAAAACGAACACGTACTAAACTCTTTGCGTATGGTTCCAAACAACATTAATTACCAGTGATTGGGACATTCGAAGCCACAATCGAGACAAAAAAACGAATGACTGTCTCTACTATTCATGTAGTCAGAGGCAATTATGGCTCACTGTTAAGTTATCAAACGGCTACAGAACTAAACCTTATAAAAGTAAATGTCAACAATGTCAAAGTCACCGGTAATGACAAAATTGAACAATGTCACGACTCTCTAAAAGATAAAATGGACAAAAAATTTCCCCATTTGTTTCATGGAATTGGAAAATTACACAATTTTGAGGCAAAGTTGCATATTGATTCTTCTGTACCCCCTGTAGCACAACCAGCACGTCGAATTCCATTTCATTTACGAAGAAAAGTTTTTGCTGCTCTTAAACAACTGGAAAAGGATGACATAATTGAGAAAGTTGAAGGGCCCACACCATGGATTTCGCCTCTGGTTGTTATTCCCAAAAATGACGGAACTGTGCGCCTCTGCGTTGACATGAGGCGTGCAAACTGTGCTATCCAGAGAGAGCGACACCCATGTCCCACGGTTGATGATCTTATACATGCAATGAATGGTGCCAAGGTATTCTCCAAACTAGACTTGCGTTCGGGATATCATCAGTTGTTGTTAGCAGAGGAAAGCAGATATATTACCACCTTTGTGACACATAAAGGATTACGTAGATATAAAAGGCTTAATTTTGGAACTAATTCAGCTAGTGAACTATTCCAGAAAGTTATCCACGATCAAATTCATGACATACCTGGTGCTATCAATATAAGTGATGATGTCATAATCTATGGGAAATCTCAACAAGAACACGATACCGCTCTTCACAATGTTTGTCAGCGCTTTACCAAAGTTGGTCTAACTTTGAACAACGAAAAATGCCAATTCAGTCAAACCAAATTGACATTTTTTGGTACGGTTTTCTCGGCAGAAGGAATTTCTGCGGATCCTCATAAAGTTTCAGCAATCAAGAATGCATCACCACCAAGCTCTGTTAAGGATGTTCGTAGTTTTCTAGGAATGGCCACCTACTGTGCCAAATTTATACCCAACTTCAGTCACTTGAGGGAACCTCTTCGTAAGTTAACCATGAAAAGTGCTCAATTCCGTTGGACAAGATGTGAACAAACTGCATTTGATAACATTAAAAATGCTTTGACCAGTGATACAGTAATGGCTTACTTTGACCAAACAAAACCAACTGAATTAATCACAGATGCATCGCCATGGGGGTTATCTGCAATACTTGCTCAAAATTCAACACAACATGATGATCGCCGAATTGTGGCTTATGTTAGTCGGTCGTTATCTGAGGTAGAGAGAAAATATTCACAAACAGAACGCGAGGCACTCGCTATTGTTTGGGCTATGGAACGGTTGCAGATATATTTACGTGGTGGTAAGTTTACTTTATACACCGATTGCAAGCCCATTGAACTAATCCTAGGAAACCCGAAGTCCAAACCCCTGCACGCATAGAACGCTGGAACTTAAGAATTCAGGACTTTGATTTTGATATAATGTACACTAAAGGCAGTGATAATCCCTCCGATTTTTTATCCCGCCACCCCTGTCAAGAAACAGATAACAAACATGAAATGTCAGCAGAACAATATGTAAATTTCCTCACCATGCATGCAGTTCCAAAAGCGATGACTATACAGGAAATACAAGAAGCTACTAAACACGATAAAACTTTACAACTGCTTACTGAAATTATTCGCAAGCAAGCATGGGGCTCCATAAAAGACTTGCCAACAACTGGAGAAGACGTAAGTGAATTGAATCTGTTTGCAAAGGTAAGAGATGAACTAACAATTAATGAACAGTTGGGTATTATTCTGAGAGGAACTCGTATTATTATGCCTTGTTCACTTCGCGAAAAAGCTATACGACTTGCGCATGAAGGCCATCAAGGGTTGGCAAAAACAAAACAACTGATTCGGGAAAAAATTTGGTTCCCTAGAATAGATAAAGATGTTGAAACATTGATTCGTGGTTGCATACCTTGTCAGGCCAATGGCACAGCAAATCACCCTGCCCCATTAAAGATGACCGAGTTGCCCCCTAAGCCATGGCATACGGTCCATGTTGATTTTTGTGGACCATTTCCAACAGGGGAATATACTTTAGTTGTCATCGACGCTTACTCCCGCTTCCCAGAGGTTGAAATTGTGAAGTCTACATCAGCCACCTCAACCATATCTAAGCTCGAAAGAATATTTGCAACCCATGGACTGCCAAACATACTAAAAAGTGATAATGGCCCTCCCTTTCAAAGTAATGAATTTAAACAGTTCATGACAGAAAATGGTATAAAACATCAAAGAATCACACCATTATGGCCAAAAGCCAACTCTGAAGCAGATAATTTTATGAAACCAATGGAGAAAGCTATTCGTGCAGCTCACATTGAGAAAAAAAATTGGCGGAAAGAATTGTACCACTTTTTATTGAACTATCGAGCTACCCCACACACAACAACAAAGTTCGCGCCAGCTGAACTTTTATTCAATCGAGAAATTAACACCAAATTACCAAGTAAAATTATCAACCAAAACACCAAGATTGATCAACAAGTTCGAGCAAACGATGAAAAGGGTAAAAGAAACATGAAAAGAAATGCAGACAAGTCAGCCAATGCCAAAGAGGTTGACATTAAGGTTGGTGATACAGTATTGGTCCGTCAGACAAAAGAGAATAAATGGTCAACACGGTTTGATCCTAAACCATATTGTGTAACGCGGGTGAAAGGAACAATGATAACAGCTACTCGTCCAGGACATTATATCACAAGAAACATTTCATTTTTCAAGAAAGTGCTACAACAAGAGATTCAACACAACTCTGAGGATGCAAGCGATGAGGAAGATTACAGTAAACTTGATAATAACCTCCCTGACACAAACATTGAGGAGAATAATGAACTTGCTGAGAGACGGTATCCTGCGAGAGACAGAAGACCTATCAATAGATATGGTCAAAACATATATAATGCTTAGTAATTTTAATAATTCGATTTTATAATACCATTGACATTTTGTTAGGACTTCAGTGACAATTCAAAGTAAGGGAGGGATGCAGTGATCACATGATAAACATGTGATACAATAACATTTATATATAGTTTTAGGGTGTGTTCACATTAGTGATTGATTGAGCGTTGAATAAATAAGTACAACATTACAGCGTCTATGATTAACAATTTACAATTTACATTATACAATTTACAATTTATTCAAAAAACCGATCTTGCAGCCTAGAGGCTGAATTACAACGGTTAAATTTTACAAAAGAAAAGATTTAATTATACTATCTATTACTGATTAATAATACTAAACATAATAAAAATAATTGTAACATTAAGTTAATGGGACTGTCTATTTCAATTAATAATACTATCTATTAATGTATTTAAGAATATATAATTACAGTTAAAATTAACAGTTATTTTCGAAATATATAAAATCCTCAGTGACTGCTGTTTTCATTATTAGAACTAGCAGCAATTATAAAAGACTTTTTAAATCGTTCAGTCTTGCATTTAGGAATTTTAAAAGTTCTCGAAGTTCTCAGAGAATACGCTACGTCAGTATTCGTGTCTGGTAGGAGTGGGTGCAATTTGTGATTTTTATCTTCCATTATTTCTTTGAAGAGTTTGTCGCACGCAATTTGACGTCTCTCTTCAAGAGTTAGAAGCTTAGAATGGGAGAGCGCTTCGGCATATGATTTGGTGGGAAATATGATTTTCATGGCTCGTCGCTGAATTCGTTCAATGTCTTTACACAGATATATGGGAATTCCATAATGAAAGACAGGAGATGCGTATTCGACAATTGGTCAGATACAAGCTAGTGCAGTAGAAACACATCGTCTCGGTGGTAGATACTTTGGCACGTTTCAATTGTCGCTAAAAGTACAATCTCTTGGATGGCCTTTTTAACAATATTATCAATATGACTATTCCACTTAAGGTCCCTGCTGATAGTCAAACCCAAAACTTTCTTTTGAAGACCAAGTCTACCTATTTACCGTTGATTGTCACTAGGGGAAGCTGCTGGTAATTAGTGTTATATCTGCTAAATTGTATTCGCATCTCTTTACATTTGTCCTCGTTGAGGGTAAATTTCAGGGTGTTGGATTGGTTTTGGATGTCATCGACCGCAGATTGAATTTTGCTATCCCCTCCTCTGGGTATTACCTCGGCTAAAGACAAGTTGTATCATCTACGTATTTCCAGAGGTTGTTACTGACTGTGTTGAGGTCATTGATCGTAAGAATATATAACCAAGGACCTAGCCTGCGAACAGGCTCTCAAGCTGAATTGAGAGCCTGCATCGATGACTAATGAATTTGAATATCTGCGTCTCAAATCGTGACGCGCAATTCTCATTGGTCAGATGCTATAATTTATATTATTCCGCTGAGCTCTATATATTTCAACTGTTGCACTATGCATAAAAAACACATTAACTGATCAAATTGATCTTGGCCATCTTATCTCAAAGCACGAAATGTTCTGTTTTGAGAAAACAGTATTTAAAACATTTAAACTTTTGCTTGAATATCTTATATTTCGAAAAACAGTATAAACTGTACGGTCTATTCTAAATTTAGTTTGCACGGTCTAAATTTAGTTTGCATGAAAGTTGTAAACAACACCATATAAGGATAGACATTCCATATTTGGAAAAATGAACGTTACAGGGCAGATATTCAAATTCATTGGTCATCGATGCAGGCTTTCAATTCAGCTTGAGAGCCTGTTCGCAGGCTACCAAGGACCGAGTTTGGTTCCCTGGGGTACACTTGGCGGGACTAGGGACCATTCTGAATAGCAGTCATTGGCTAACTTTACTCTTCGTTGGCGATTTGTCAAAAAATCTCTTACCCAATTTATAACACTCGGTTATACGATTAACAATTAGGTTATATGAGCTCGAGATTTCTATGAGGTGATCGTTGATGAGGGCGAAGCCCGAATTAACTATCACGCGTCATAGAAATTGAGAGCGAGTAATCTAATTGTTTTATAGTAGAATCAGAGATCAAACATAAAATATTCCACAAAATAATTCAATAAAGAACGCGTGCCGGAAGACATTTTTTTAAAAAAATTCGCCAGGAAAATGATTGTTTTGCTACTCGTTATTTATCGAAGAATAAATAGTGAGTAGAGTATCCATGCAATCAAATTACAGCATTTGCAATAGTACACTAATACACTAATGCGTTTTAGATGCGCTAGATAATGAGACTTGGGCCGGGCATATCGATATGCAGTCTCATTAGGTAGAACTGCCAAATCTGCAGATGATCGATGCAACTACTTGAAAAATAGAAGAAGTTCTTATCCACTACCTACACTGACACTCACCGTTCGAGATCTCATTAGTTATTCACAAGCATATTTAAGATGACAATACGGCTCCTTTCCCAGCAATAATCAGAAACGCTTGGAATGTGGGCAATACCACTGTTGATTTGCGCATGCTCACAACAATATAGTATTAATTGGCTTCATTTTATTTATGCATAGCATATGCACTATCCATACAGTAGCAGTTTTTAAATCATTTCTTGTCTAGTACCTGGCTTCGTCGGTTAAATGTACTACTTTTGTGCTGGAAAATATAGCTTTTTTAGCTGCAATGCATAATATAATCAGACAATAAAAAGTTCTGAAACATCCTGTATATATACTCCTGTTTTTTTCCCACTATAGTTTGTTTTGTATCCTGGTCCCTGCGAAGATTGCCCAGTGAAAGTCTCTCCGTTACTGTCAGCTTTACGCAGTACAAGATATGTCTTTATCAAAGAACTCTATATTTGGGATTTACCAATGAAACATGAAGATGTCGCCACTTTGGTATGCCATTAATTTTCTCGCCACTTTGCTATGCCAATAATAGTCGAGGAACAGGCATTAAGTGTTTTGTTTTATAGCGATCGATGAAAGAAAAAACAACAGCGTTTTATTAAAAATGATCTGTAGTGTAAAGGAGTTTAAAATTAAAAGAACCTACTCAAACGGTTTTAGTAGCATATGCTGTTGCCTGTTGTGTATTTTCCTTCTCTTTTACATTAATTATTTTAACCCAAACGTGGAAAATCGTAATTTATAAACTTGCGTGTATATATGCGGCCATTTTGTTTATTTATGTACGTATTTGGTCGTGGCGGGCAACAATTTTTCACTTGTTGCCCGTCAGGATCAATGGTCAGGATACATTGCATTTATCTAAAGCCACGTGATCACAAATCAGCCAATCACGTGCATTATATAATCCGAGTGAGTTAGAGACTTTCATCTCGCTACTTAATTACTATCTTGGATTTCGATGAACTCCAGTTAACTGAAAGGTGAAATATCAGTTTCTATTTAAGGTTCTTACTAGTAGTGGTGCAAACGTACAGGCGCAAACGTACAGGTGCAAACGTGATTTCATTAATTAAATATTCATTTGTAGGCTTTGTTTTTGGAGAAAGGGATCTATCGTGTTCAGTACCTGGAGTTAATGAGTTGCTCAATTGAAAGTTACGCTGTACAAAGGTTGGGAAGGTAAGGCCAGCAGTGAACAATTAATGTAGCGTCTTGACTTTCAAAAAGTTTCAAAAAGTGCCACAATGAAAAATTTTCTGAGCCAGTCTCATATTTACCTTTATCCCGTCTCCCAGTCTCTTACCTATACTATGGTGTCTGAAGTGATTGAAACCTGTATGACTATTCTCAATCATTATTTTTACTAAAAATTATGATAAATATAATTTTGAACTTTCCCTGAAAATTCTTGCGACTTCACTGAAATTTCATGCACCTCCCCTTGATGATCAAAGTCAAAATTTGATTCAAATCTAACAGTTGACTTGAATGATTGTTATTAAATTTTTATGTAAATATTTTAAGGTAATGCCCACAGTAATTGGCATATGCTGTTGTGGTGACCCTGCCCTAGTTGGCAAAGCTAAATAAATAAAAAAAGGTCTTCTCCCTGTGATAAAGTTATTGTTGTATAAAATTGAAAAAGTGATAATCATTCATCTCTGTGTCAATTACCGTTTTAATGCATACCTTGTAGTCACACAAGGTCTTAATTCATAAATACAATGGTGGTAGATATATATATGTATATATATTAATTACATTATACTTGCATGCATGCATGCATGCATACATTAATGTTGTTGACATTAGAAGGGCACATCGTAAACCCTAACCCAGACCGCTCCACCTCCCCTAAAATGTTTCCTCCTCCCCCAACATCAAATCTGACCCTGCTAAACTAGCCCTTTGTTTTAAATTTGTAGATCGTTTTTGTTAAACTGTATAACTTCGCTCTTGCTTGACTATAATCAGTGAGTAGTAATACATATTTTACACGTTATCCGTAGTAAACTTCTTGTATTTATTTTGTGCGTGTTAAATATCTACAAGGTTATGTACGTTACGTATAACAGGATGTTCGCACAGTAGATAGGTTAATTAAAAGGTATGGGCAAATTTAAATTTGTTCAGATTGAAAGAACTTCTTAAACTGTAGAATAAGGCATTCGCAATTTTTATATCTTTCTTTGATCACGACACTCATTTTACCACTTCTCTCTTTATTTTTTTCTGTGCTTGTAGTTTTCCATTCACCTTCCATTTTTCTATATTATCTCATCTAGTGGTGAGCACCATTCATGGCACCTATCAGTATCGTTTCGCCACATTTGGCACCTTTTATAGTTACTGTTCTCCATATTTTTGTGTCATAATCTATGTAAGTTATGTACAATATTGTCAAGATATCTACGTCCCAAATTAAAGCTGTTAAATAGAATAAAAATAAAAGAAGTAAATAAAGTTGGATGTTCTTCTTTTTACCTAACTCTGATTATTTCAAAATCATATTTACTCTATACCATAATGAAATATAGGTTTGGTGATGAAGGCTGTGAAGGATTATGTCGTGGCTTGAAAAACAATAAAACTTTACTGAGACTGAGCTTGAATTACTGTAACCTTGGTCCAGCTTCTGGTCGAGTTTTGGGAGATCTCTTGACAGAAACTGCTGTATGGTGAGTTAAATATTGCTGTGATAAAAATATGAATTCTACCTGCGAGCACCTGCTTTAGAGGATGGTAGAATTTGTTGTTTAATGCTTGGCATGGCCCTAATTTTGTGAAAAACTTTTCACAAAAGAGTTATCTACAACTGGGGATATACTTCTATTGCAAATATACAGGGTTGTGTTTATGCTTCCAATCACCAAAGATTTTCCCTTGATTGTCACACTGTGTCTGTGCCTTTATCACAGAATAAGAGCCTTACAGAAGGTCGACTCAGCCTTTTTTTAATATTTTCAGAGGACTGATTGCCTCTCATAAGCGCACCGGCTAGAAACATTGCGACGGCATTGCAACGGTTACGCCAAAATAATAGCCAAAACCAAGAAGTCAACCTATAAGATTCCTCTATCTTCCACGGATGTTTTCAAAGGAATTCATTTTGCAACTGCGCTAGAAGGGACGTGGTTCATAGATACCGTAATCATAACCGCTGAAATTTGTAGCTGGCGCGAAAAAGAAATCTCCTGCCTTTCGCTAGTGAAAAGTCGCCAAAATTGCGGATGCTGATGCCGCTTTTCTGACCACAACCAAGATCTGTTCAATGCATATGTTTTAATTTTTCAACTATGTTCAAAATTTACAGTGATATTTATCTCGATGGCAACCATCTGGAGTGTGAAGGTGTTATTGAAATGATCAAATTATTGGCAGACAAAGCTGAAATGGAAGCAATTGAACGAGCTGAGAAAAGAGAACATGCAAATACTGATCCTGTTAGTAAACCTATGTCTGCGGTATCGCAAATGTCAGCAACCGATACAGCGGTTGATGGTAATAAACTGCCAGAGGTTCCTGCAGAGAGCTCAAGGTACTATATGCATGTGTATTGAAATATATATTTAAAAATAATTAAATATATTGAATTGGTATAACTCATTACAACAGTGGTAATATAATTATTATACAAGGCAGAATAACAATAATACACGAAGTATCTTACCAGGTTAACAGCCTTATACTCACCGAAAATTATGTATTAATGAGATATTATCATAAACGCACTTAGTTAATGTAGTTATAAAGGTCCTAAGTAATAGGATCTAACATGAGCACACGTTCATGGTGTTCATTTTACGACATCTTCGTCAAATACTGATTTCGTTCCTCCAAAATAGAAGTCTTTAAGGAGCTGATCACATGGAGAGTTTTCAGCCAGTTGAGTCTCAACGTGGTTAACGGAGCTAAAATTGTTGCACGATTTTACGGTAAATTTCAGCTCGAGATGAGTTAGAATTTCAGTTGAAACCGGGGCGAAATCTCAGCTCGGGTTGAAACGATGTAGATATGTAGTCTCATAATGGAGCTATGCCGCTTCTTCCAAGAATTTAAAATGTTGTTCACGTCTATTATTTGACTTCTGCGGGACTGTGGTTGTATTTAAAAACACAACATACATGCAGAAATAAAGCCACTTAAATGTGCTGTTTTTTCAGGCCGGGTTGAAATTTTCCGCCGATTACAATTGCGTACCTTAATTTTGAGCACGTTTCACTTTGAAATGGTAAATTTAAAGCAATGAAAAGAAAGAACTATGAAAGAAATGAGGCGAAAGTAGATTTGAAATATTTCTACTATATTTACCTCCTCCAGACGATTATGTTGTCATCCGTGTTTGTATGTGCATCTTTGTTTATGTGCATGCTTGTCTGTCTGTCAGGACGATAACTTAAAAACGACGTATTAATACGAAAGTTTGAGACTAAAGCCGGTTTTCCACTTCGCCCGTGTCGTACCGAAACGTACTGGTGAGCATGCGCAGATTGAAAACAGGTTTATAAATCCACGTACTTCCGGGTGTATTCGCGTATCAAAATAAAAAGTTAGGAGGTACTAACCAATCAACATTCACGAAATTTTGAAATTTAAAAACGTTTTTGATACGTTTCGGCGAAATTGTGAGCATCCCAATTTTTCAGTTCTACTTGACCGCTCACAATTCAAAAGAAATTGAGCGAGAAATTTCGACAACGCATTTTTCTGCAAGTGGAAATCCAGCTTAAAGATATTACACAAGGACAAAATGATGAAAACTGGATGAGATATTAGCAAACGTTTGTGTTGCTTTGCCGGAAAGAGTAAACCGAATGGGTAATTAACCCATTGTATAATTTATGCGTGATATATAACTTAATTCGTTGGCATTGGGAGAGGTTTATGCGGTCTCCGAGTGCCCTCTAGTTAATCTTGTTTTAATCATTTATAGTAAGGCGGGAAAATCTGACAAAACTCGTGGCAAGAAAGGCAAGAAGAAGAAGAAATCTGCCAAAAAGAAAGTGAAACCGCCGCCAAGAGTTGGTCCGTGGGTTGAGAAAATTCATATTGCAAATAATGGCATCGATGCTCATGGACCTGGATCAAACTTAGCTCCGGTCATGTGTATGCGATTATTGAGAAAGTTAGTAGTTCAGTGTGAAAATTTAACTATGAAATTAAAAAATTTGAAAATAAAAAATTAAATTATTATGAAATTAAAAAATTAATTAGAATAATGTCAAACCTTATCTAACGCTTTCATATACCAAACATGGTGTTAAAACAGATCCAACAACATTGTTCCCATCAATATATGGTTTCAACTGGCCTGAAGAAGCTTGATGATATTACCAGAGTTTTTTTTCAAATTTTTCCAATAATTCCATACGACAATTAGACATAAAACATGAATTAGAAGGATTTTTGAAGAAATACACATTTAACATTTTATTTGCAATGACTTCTTCATTAATCCCATTTAAATTTGGAGCGATTTTTATTATATTTGAGTTCCCAATATTTTTATCAGGTTGGTAACACATTCAGATTGTCTAAAGGAAATAGACTTGGAACATAACTTGATTGGTGATTTAGGAGGACGCGAACTCTTAGAATCTCTAATGGATCGTAAAGAAGGTTAGAAATCATCTAAATCGAACGAGACTTTTAATGTTTTATTTTGTTTCAGTAGCATATTACTAGTGACCCCTACTGTACATTCGCTGTGAGCACAATAGAATCGACGGCCTGGACATTGCATGGACTGGCAAAACAAACCTGGTTTCTTGGCATTATTACAGAATGCTTTTGCGAGTGTTATACCAAATATTAAATATAGAAAGTTCTATGAAGAACACGACAGCTACACAATCGTCGTAGCTATATTCCAAGATTTTTCTTGAGATAGCAACTAAAGTTGTTTTCTTTTATCCGAAGTATATGGCAACGATATCAGACAGATTTAGAAAAGATCAGCGACGCAAACTTGATGACGCAGTCTCAATTTCAGCTCAAGATTGAGAGCTAAGAAATGTGATTACCGTAATAAATTGAAACTTTTTTAAAATAATCTTATACAAACGGCTAAGTTCGGTAAAAACGATCCGGTGTCTGCTATGAGACAGATTTTATGTAACTCCTCCAACGTCGCAACAAGCGTTGCTCCAATGACGTGAAAATGTTAGTTGAGGATACCCCGGATCACAAATTATTCAAATATTTTGTTTTGCATGAAGAATTTCTTTGTTTCGGAAGGCGAGTCTTTCAGCTTGCGTCGTGTTTTCTAAATATGTCTATTATAAACCATCGGCCCCCTCCGAGATGGTTGGATCCCTCATATAGTTGCTCCATTGTCTATACCGCTGAATGGCAGCCACATAAATCGATGTTTTCAATGTGTTAAGAAATGACAAGTAAAATCTCAAGCCCTCTTTCTGATCAAATCGCAGCGATTTATGGCGTCGGAGGCGAAACATATTTATTTCATTATCTGTGATTTGAAAGGCATTTATACACTGTTGTATATGCATAAAAAATTACTATTATGTTTCAAATTTGCATGAAATGCTGCTACACATTCCACATCTAGTTATTTTCGAAACAATCCCTCCAAAGAAAAGCTTCCTGGAAAATACTTGTTTTGTCCACATCTCAAATAAATTTAAGAATGTTTTACAAAATTCTCATGTTCGCTTTTGTAGCCAAGCTCAATTCAATAAAACTTCGAACGACTCATCGGATGAATTCAACAACGTTTGCAAACTTAGTGAAACTTGGAGGAGGTATGAAAAAGAAAGCGAAGAAAAAGAAAGGAAAGCCTGGAAAGGTATGAAATTGTTAAGTACACACATGAGTAAGTTATCTTCCTTCGGACGTATCATCCAAGAATTCATCCGGGAAACTTACGATGCAATGACCCCATCCTAGAAGTGAGACTCCAGGGGTACCCCTTTCCTGCTTGAAGATATCCCCAATTTATGTCTAAGTGCAAGGACGAGGATTTTTTCGCTGTGTAGCTTCCTTGCATCCCAGGTCTTTTTTATGACTGCAACGCACCCAACATATAGTTGTGATGTATTGGGGTAAAAAATTACACAAGTTGTCAAACTGGATGTCATGCTATAATTATTTTAACAGAAAATAAAACTATCTCAGCGCACTGAGAATCGTAATCATACTTTTATGAATACATAATAATTTAATTGGTTCCTGAACGGTCGGTGACCTCCAGTACGGACCACTCACTGACCTCACGCGAAGAAAAACTTAGATAACTCTTTTCGCAGAAAAACACTATAAATATTTGACCTTGGTAAGTTTTACCGTATAACTTAATACCATAAGGAAAAAGAACGAGACTAATATCCTACCAGAGTACCAGTTTTCTTCTAATTTGATAGGACTTTTGAAGAAATTGAACTGAACTAAAAACAAAGGGCAATTTAAATTTAATTATGCGAAATCAACAAGTACTTGTTTTGTTTAACAAAGCCTTAAATAATTATATAAAAATGTCGATTAAAGAAAGAGTAGCAGTGGTTTATCAGGTTTAAGGCACGTTGTATGGATTGCTAAAGTAACTACATGTCAAAATATTGCCATAATATGAGATGAGTCTGTGAATTCAGTACAGTTGTCATACATTATAATAAACTCTCGTCGTATAGGGCTGATAAACAACTCGGTGCAACGCACCTCGTCTACTATCAGTTTATGTACGACTCGAGTTCGCAGAACAACTGTTTTGGTAGATGCTTCAAACGTTGTAGTCAAATTGGAGTTTGAAAGAGTGACCAAATTATAATTTTGGGCCCATAATGACCATTGCATACATCTGCTTGTGACGTAAGATGCATATCCACAATAATCCAAGATGGCGGAAAGATCACTGATTTACGATGATTCTGGTCAAAATATTTCGAGAACTAAGGAACATTTCAAGTAGCTGTAAAAAGGTTTTCCATCTAATTTTAAAAGTTCTTCCAAATGAGACAAACCAAATTTGTATTGCCATATCTTGCCGCCATGTGTATATTGTTCTTTAAAACGCCAAATTTTGTATTTCCTTGTTATTTCTTGCAGAAACGCATTTAAAACCGATGAATAGAAGCATAATCACGTTCAAGTCGTTGGAATTGGAATACTCAGTGAAGAGATGTCAAGTCCGAGCAGATCGAGCTTGGATGAGGATCATATATACTTAAACCACTCTAGTTTCAAACATAATGCAGTCCAAGAGCATCTGTTTTCTTCGTACTTCTCAAGTTTGTATCCAGCCCAGAATCTCGACATATGGATATGAGTTGATCGTGCACCTGCAAGTATTTGTATTTGCAGCATTCAAGTCAACTGAGGATTAACAAGGTCTATCTGCAGTTTCACTACTTTTGAAAAAAGTATATATATCAATTTTGATCGATTATGCGTAGCCTGCTATTATAAACCTCTGATTATAAACATGCAGGGTTCGTACAAAACTTGGGGTCTTTGAATGTCCTTGAATTTATAAATAAGTACTTTAAAGTCCTTATAGATTCTTCTTGCTTTAGTTTATTGATATTTTCTGAAATTGATTGACATTCAAAACGGACATTTTGTTGAATTGATTTTGCATGTTCATATATATCTAACAGAGCTGTTTGAAATTCATTAAAATTTTGCCCTTTTTGAACAATTCAATGTTACATTTTACTGATTTTTAACGCCTTCTTTCTCTTCAGTACTTAGTACTTGAATTTGCTGATATATACTGTATATGCATGCCTTGAATGTCCTTAAAAAGTCCTTGAATTTGACTCTTCCTGACATGTACGAACCCTCACTATACACAAGTTAGTTTATAAATAACACTATTTGAGGCATCCCATCCCAGATTTACGCGGAACACTGTATATTTACAATACCTGCAAAAATTAGTGATGCACATGTATGTAGTAGATCCTTGAATTTTACCAAATTGTCAGGTAGACCTTGTTAACTCGCAACTGCATGAAGTGTAAATTCTTATTGTAAAGTTAGGTATATATTTTAGATCTCGGCAACGTAAAATGGACTACGAAGACGTGTTATCAATCTTGTATATAAGTAAGATATATCTCTATTGCGGGCTTATTTTCATGCCGAATACAGATTAAATACAACCAAGTAAAAATATTAAAGAATTCTTTAATCAAAGTCCATTTAATTTGCATTTTCATCCAGCAGTACATTCGCCGCAAAGCTAGAGCAATTTGTTAAAAATATCAACGAAAGCAATTAAGCGCAAGTGAATTTAGAAATTTTTTGAATATCCTATAACGGTAACAGCGCCATGCATATGCACTTAAAATAAATCAAAATGTATTCGTCGGAATTTTACAAAACAAACTTTAAAACAAAATTAAATATTTCATTCAATTGTCATTTCGTCAATTCCATGATAGTCCTCGCGAATCATTAGCATTGACATGACTTCTTGCAAAACCTCGCCATGAATTTCTGGTATAAGATATGACGACAAAATCCAGCGTCAAACCACTTGCCACACGATTTATGTTTGTCTTCCACGGTGCACGCAGCTAAAAGTAATTAGTTAAAATTTTGACCCTCGCATCTCCCAAAGTCTTCGCTATGAGGGATTGGAAAATGGGATTTGCTCAACTGGGATTGGAAAATGGGATTTCGACCAACAATTTTGCTGCCAGTTGGGGAATTTGGCAAATCAGTTGGTCGAGTGACTGGATTCACACAATACTTTGGCTGAGAAAAGGGAATTGAACTGCCCACCCCCGTTTATTCCCGTTTCCTAGGATACGGGACCCCGATTGCAAATTATGAATGTGGTCTATATCTAGCAAAAATATAAGTTGTAATTAAATTTACCTTGGCATGTTTTACAACAATTTTTATTCATATAGTTGTAATACATGTTACCAGGTCTACAAAATCCAGCTTCTTGCCAGGCTTTGCATGAATTTGAATGATCGCTGCAAGCAACTTCTAGGTCTAGGAAATGAATAAAGTAACGCTTGCGCTTTCATTGGGAATAAGATGCGACACTGTAGTGTCAGAACCTGACTCGACTAATGGGATGTTTAATGTGCCTTACATGAAGAGCTGCCCCTCTTTGCCAGAACGTACCACGTGTTACTTGAAATCCCTGTTAAAATTTAATGTTATCCTTTATATGAGAGGAGATATAGATCTGGTCCCAGTGTGGTTGTGCTTGAAATGGAAGCAAACAGGGGAAAGTCTAATATCTCGGAGGTACTTCAACAAATTAAAATTAAATGAAATTTGGTACAATTAGTAAGTGCACTTAGCCAAACATTTTGGTATGTTTATACTGTTGTCATGGCAACAAACGAGCTACCAGGTCTCTCTCTTACATTTTCCTAATCCCTTGTTTCATGGAAATGTAATGCCATTTTTTTAATTTTCATTTGTTGATATAATTCTTATAGACGTTGTGGTAAGATTAGTCTATCTTAATTATCTAATTAAAACAAACGTTCGTTGCAAAGGGTCTGCAGCAGATATTATTTAAATAGAGAGAGACCTGATGACTAGTCGGTTGTCATGGCAACCATATAAACATAATAAACATATAAAAATGTTTGTTTAAGTGTACTGACTAGTAATTGTACGAAATATCATTTACTATTGTTGAATCACCTCTGAGATATTACACTTTCTTCTTTTTGCTACCATATCAAGCACAACCAGTGACGTCATAGCCCAAAAAAACAAAATGCTCGATAAGTTGGGAATAAGATGAGATACGGGTAAATTGTTATTAAAGTTATAATAGTCGTTCTTATGTTGAACATATTTTCAAGTAATGCAATAAAAAATAGGGGCAAAATTTCATTTTATTAACACTTTATGGGGGAATAATTTAACCAAGTGCTCTAACATTTTCGGGTAAGTTGTAACAAATCTGCAGCAGACTTGTAACAATGCTGTTTCAACAATTTGTCAACAAGATGTGACCGCACTGCTTGTTCCCAAGCTTGTTGACAAGTTGTCAACAGCTTATTGACAAATATAGCCTCAAGGTTGTTCAGCTCAACAGACTTGTTCCAACAACATGTTATCGTTCTGCAATTCAACAATTCGCCAATATATACAGTATATATATATAATATATAGGGGAGGACTTGCACGTGTTCTCTTCCATAACACTGGCTGCTTCGGAGACTAAGTACTACTCTCTTTGAATTCTTTAATCAATCTCGTTCCCCGAGCCTGCGATCCTCGGGAAGGAACGCGAGGCTCTGGGATAATCCGTTTCAGGGAGGAATCTGATGGCCGTTGAGATGGAATGCGTAGTTCAATCTTAGCCAGAATTCCTGGCTTCCGGCAACTGATTATCCCAGAGCCTTCGTTTTCTTCCCGAGGATCGCAGGCTCGGGGAACGAGATTGTTCTTTAATTTGTTATCTTTTGAATGTCGTGGAGTATTGAAATTAAACCTTTTTTAACCAGAAGAAGCTGTGGTTCGACGAAACACAAAGAAAGCTGCAACGTTTTGTTTAACAGTGTGCAATTCTATTTCGGTGAATAATTTTTGAATATTTACCTTCCTTCTTCCCATTAGGCCAACATTTATACATCCTTTGAACCTGTTTAACATCCTTTTCTGTTAATCCTTGAGTGTTTCCCAACCGTCTGTTTCCATCTTTACTTTTCATTGTTTCCAAACCAGGATGTTTTGCGAAGGCGTTCGATGGGTAGTGCATTACGGACTCAAAGTCGTATTTAACTCCATAACTATTGACAACACTCGCAGTTATCTTACGAAATGCAGATCTCCATTCTAAAAATTAATATTATTAGAAGAAACAAGCCATTAAAAAATTAAGCGACATGGATTAATGTTGGACATGTTGACTTGCTGCTCAAATATGTGGCATAACCAATGAAGGTCTCGAGATACCAAGTTCTGGTGTCTTTTTAGTCACGTGGCCATTAGAAATTACGGACATAACTTATTGTACTTCCGTATACTAATTTACAAATCACGTTGAAATATGACCTCAGCTGTAAACAGTCAATCAATAGACCGAATTTACTCTCTAATTGTCAAGAAGAGTAACAACAATTCCAGGCTCAGTGCTAACTTGCTCTTGAAACATTACAATTTAGCATGAAGCCTCTATTGGCATTCACTCGTTGTAACTCGTAAAATCTGAGATGATATAGAGTTAAAATCGCTGGTTGTAAAATTCTCTCTCGAAGTATTTTGTGTAATATTGGCCTTGTTTATAGGTAACTATTCATCTTGAATTATAGTTTATTCCTATTATTGTATTTTATATAAGATTAAATAAACAAATTTAGTCATAAACTAACGCTTGTACAAATATAGAAAAAAGCAGGATGGGGAGCAACTCGAACCAAACAAATATATTACACCAAGTACTTTGAGAGACGTCGTTTCGCAACCACCAATTTTTGAAATTTGAAAACGACGGTACGACGTACCTCATTTTCAGATTTTGCGATTTAAGTTACAAAATTTTAATAATGCCACGAGCTCTTTTTCCTGGCAAAATTCACCAGAAAAATTCTCACTTTTTTCGCTTCGCCAATGAGTAGAAAATCAGTTCTACTCACTGTGAAAGCGAAATTCAATAAATCATTAATGTGCAACCATCCATGTTTCGTAGGAACAATTTCTCACGAAGAATTTTGCCATCGTGGAAACAAGCCGTAAGGGTGTAGACTAACATCTGTGATTTCTGGCCACTTGATTTCAGATATGGACATTGCATTATAGTATAATATAAATATCTAATATAACCACCTGGTATAATATTATCCCACAATATCTGGATATATCTGTCTCTGTCTGGCCTTGATTGCTCGTGCCACATTCCCATTGCATGACCTGGGAAGAAAATATATTGTTCTTATGCTAGCGAGTCATCGACAACAGCATCCTCGCAAGGTATCATAGTAGGCCTATGTCAAGACATGATGGTCTGGAAGCCCAGCAAACTTCAAAGCTTGTTTGATGCTGAACTGTTCCTCACTATGCACAAATTCTTTATCTCAACACAAGATTGTCTATTCTGTGTATTCTGTGGTCTTGAAAATACCGTATTTACTTTTTAGCGGATGTAAAATTAATTTTACATCTGCTAATAAAAAGTAAATACGGTATTATTCATTAAAATCCCAGTGTTGCATGCGAACTAATTTGAGATCAGTACGATCGTGTAATTAAGTTAGTAAGGCTGACAAAAAATTGAAGAGATATAAACACGAAATACGAAAATTCGAGAAAACTAGCAAGACACACACGAGAAGACATTTGGTTTTTGTACATGCTTTTTTCATGAATATGTAGTAGAAAAGCATAGCCATAGGAATGAAATATGATCCTGCCTCGTCAGCAGCCAATCAAATTGCGCAATTCGCCAAAAAAATGCTTGCCATATAATAATTAACAATTATTTAACAAATATAAAACATTTTCCGTGTTGATATACAGTTATATCAACACGAGTGGAAATTGGGAAAACGAGAAATTGTGTGGAAACACGACGCCCGAAGGGCGGAGTGTTTTCACACAATTTCGAGTTTTCCCAACTTCCACGAGTGTTGATATAACTATATATCAATACGGAAAAATGTTTTATATTTGTTTTATAATATAGCAATGTCAAAAGCCCGAAGAATAAGAACAATTTCCGTGTTTATAAGCGGCGGAAAATTTCCCGTGTTGACATGGAGTTATATCAACACGGCTCTTAGCCAATCAGCGTTCAGAATTTACAAATGCTATATTATAATCATCGTTATCACACGTTTCATCTTAGCTATCCCCATTGGACGATTACTCAATGGTACGAAATTACAATAGCTCAAAGATCACCGTGACCGTGCACAAATTAGCATAAACCCAGACCAAAATATAACACAATGCCTTCTGTTTAGTTTCTTCATATCTTGATAGACTATCATGGTATGATTTTAATGCAAACAAAGAATTGTCCCAGTATACGACTGGGCATCCCTTTAGTTGAAAATGTACTAAAGAAAAAAGCTTACGGCTTAATTTATATCCGATTGTCTACACAATAAATATTGTATACAGAGGGATACAAAAATTGCCCGTAATGTTGCGCATCATCATGATCAATATTTTGTGTCATGTCAAACATTAGTGAATATAAGGGGAAAGCCAGAAACGCAGACAGGGAGGGCAATCACTGTCGCCAAAAACTGCAAATCACGACATTTTCTATTCTCTGCAGCATATATCCGGAAATCTCATGCAGAACAATCATGTATTCATACTGAATCAAGTGAGCTTGTACCCTTTTGTTCTATTCATGAGATTTCCGTTATATTTTCACAAATCATCACTTTAAGGTTATGACTAAGATAGGTAGCAATTTTCTTTAAATTTCCAGTCATTAGATTAAAATCATACAGCTATTAAAAATCTCAATCTGGTTAAAAGCCGCAATGTAACGCGTGACTACTGATCAATCAACTCGATGCGAGCACGCGTTCACTCTTTGAGTTCCTCGAAGCAAGCGAAGAAGAAAGCAGCCAGATTGGAAGAAAATAAGTGAATATATTCTGCTCTTTCAATGCATTCAGTCAAAGTTCTCAAAAGGCGTTTTTCAGGACCAATTAATGGACCGTGGGTGAATCAGAAATAAAAGGTTGCTTTTCTTCTCACATTCTTCCTCTAGCTTGATCAGAAAAGGGATGGAGGAAAACGAAAGGTCCCGAAGAAAAACCGTCCAAACACAGGGGAGGAAGGAAGTTATCCAACCCAATTAGTAAATCGCTGCCCCCGACTTGCAATATCTGGCATTAGTATATACTCGAGTGGTGGATAGTGCTTTTCACGCAAATTGATTGGTTGCTCAGCTCCGGATATGCTTGCACTATTCACCTCGGGACAAAAACAAAATGGCGTCCCGTTTCGTTCCGGTTACAGACGAGCAATTTCTTGTACTAAACGAAACTGCCGTTTCATCAACACGAAGAACGTCACACAGTTTTGTTTAACAGTGGGTAGAGGTATTCTTTAAAGCTATGTCCAATGAAAAAATGATGAAATTACTGAAAGCGTGTGAATACCGAATTGTTTACAAATTGCAACTATTACGGGAGCTGAAATAAGAATTGTTTTAAAATATTTTCGTTGTTTTTTTTTGTCATTTTTGTTTTGTTGTGGTGTATGCTAAAACGTTTATTCACCTCAGTGTCGGTGAATAGCCTGAATAGTGCATGCAAGGATACCCATCTCAACGCTTCGCGTTCCGGTGAATATCCTTTTCACTACTGATTCACATCCACTTCGGTGAATAATTGTTCAATAGCAGGAGGCCGGTGCACTAAGGCGCATTGTGTTAAAACTACTATTACTCGAATGTGTTTGCCAAAGACTTACCTATTTCATGAACCGCGATCACTTTGTTTTCACAACCTTTACCTATGGATATTCGCTGGGGTTTTCCCAAACGACCAACCGGCGAGTTACATCTATAATAAATATTTACTCACTAAAATACTGAAAATGCCTTCCATTTTCCAATTTGGTCGAAGAAGAATATGTACAAGCATCCTCAAGGATTTCAAAGGCAATGAAAAAGTATTTTCAAATGATGGGTGAAATAAAAGATCAAGTTCTTTGTTTGTTTGTTGGCATGCCGATAATGTATCTACCTATATGTACCTACTACCACTACCACTACTGCGATCTTTCACTGGCTCAGTACACACCTGATCAATTGAGAGAGTTTTTTACGTAAATGAATGGATTTATTAGCCATTCCCAGCAGCCTTTCGCGCTCGTATTCGACTTCTCCGCTTTGCTCGGGGGACAACCTTAATTGAAATAGCTGTATATACCACTTGGGTTTATATGCATGCAGACTACATTCCGATAAAATTTTTCTTTTTCGATACGTTTCTCAATCGGCGGCAAACAAACCAAAAGTATGTTTAGTGCTCTATCTGCATGTAAAATAATACTAAAGTTGAAGAGATTTCAGATGATACGCCAAAAAGAAAATGATGTCTGAAGTTGAGCAAGTTTTGCTAATATTGCTGGTAACTATGGCGTCACTTTTAAAGCTAAGCATCACTGATAATTATATGTGAATTGTCAAATTTTTCCTATTATTTAATGTTTCTCGACCAGCAAATACATTTAAAAAGTTAGCTAACTGTATAAAATAGAAAATAAAGCTAAAACAAAGCAATTTTGAGAGGTACGCCAAAAGATTTTCGGTTTTGAACACTTTCCATCGCAAATACGCAACATCGAAAAAGGTTTCCTCTTAATCAGGTAGATTAAACGCATCTGATTAGTTAGTGGAAGTGAATAGTGAACCTCTCTAATATTTTCTACAAAGCAAAATTTTCAATAGCGCTTTGGCAAAGTATTTAATAATTACTAGGTTCTATGCCATTATGCATTATATCAGCTATTCAGCTAACACATTTTCATGCTTGGTTCACATAATTTTCGGATATCTCGCATGCTTTCTACCATAGTGATGAGCACCAGAATAAAGGTAGCCATGCAACTAGTGGAAAAGTGTATAAATATGCGTTGGTCAAATATGTGATCATATAGTTAGTTATTGGAATACATAGCTTGGAGATCGATGGAGAAAAGAAACATATTAGATAATGAGCTGTATGGTAGTTTCATCGAGTATCCAAACATGCATGTATATTTATGAACTATATGTGATATAAACTCACCCTTGTCCGCTGTAGAATTGTATGTATGCCTTAGGTTTGTTACGAAGTTGTTTTATATCTGTCCAAGACCCCAAACATGGTAAAACACGTTCCCATTCTTCTATGGCTTCGAGGATTACCTGTTTAGCAATATCTGAAAGAAGACAACGAAATAAATTACTCAAAGGGAGGGCGAGGTCAGATTTCGACAAGATCGAGATTCCAACCTTGATACATGAACAAAAGGGGTTTGTGCTGGGGTTTAAGATAAACGCCTCCTCGCGGGAACTACCATAAACCTCCGAATATAAGTCCGCTGAATATACGCCCTACCCCCGTGAATAAGCCTACTATATTCACTAACACTCAGGCCATTCGGAAAATAAGCCCCCCCCTGAATATAAGCAACTCCGCGTATAAGCCCATTGGCCAGGTATTCATTAACGAAGCGACGGGGTTTCCGACATCTCAGTGACGATAATTACATTACAATATTATTGTATTATAATATGTTACAGTGCGTCGGTTGTCTGGAAAACGCGTGCACGTACACGCGTACACGTACACGCGTACATGGAAAACGCGTACATGGAAAACGCGTACATGGAAAACGCGTACATGGAAAACGCGTACATGGAAAACTGACGCGTACATGGAAAACGCGTACATGGAAAACGCGTACATGGAAAACGCGTACATGGAAAATGCGTACATGGAAAACGCGTACATGGAAAACGCGTACAATGTTTATTTGTAACGTTAATTAATTAAAACTTGGCGAATTTATTGGAAGTTCTCTTGCAG